CAGTCACACAGTGTCAGATTTTAATATTTACAAAGGAATTTGAAGCGGAGCCAGACAGAGTTCCAATGAATGTCTTCACAGGGGTTTGCACATTCTGCTAGTCGTATGTGTTTCCAGATTGTTCTCCCGTGCTGTCATTTGCACAAAAAGTCTCAATCCGTTTTAGTCAACTGAAGCCTCAACACTGCAGGAAAAGTGATTTGTGTTCTAAGATGTACGGTTATTATTTTCAGGTATTTCTCTATCCCAAATTGTTGTGGTTGAGCCTCATTTTTGCCCGAAGTGCCTGGACCAGCAGCTCGCTCCATCTGGAAGTGATGCGGACATCGTGCTTTTGCGCCGAACCACCTCGTCAGACTGCGAATGGGTCCCACGTGTCAACGAGCACCTCCATTTGGGGACGGTGAGGACAGGTCTTTCGCATGTTTTGGCTCCAGGTGAGAGCCTTAAAAAGCGAGATGTTGCGGACCAGAAAAATGACATTGTGCATTAGACACAGTTGCCATGACAACACACTGCATTGACCCTTCCATATGCAAATGCATGTGACACAAATGCGCCCTACATCATGAGCTAGATGGTCAGTCTTTGCATCCCTCCAACCATCCATATTTCATAGCCCTTGTAGGGTCCTGCTGTTGTATCTGTCCTTCTTCCCCAAACTTCAGTGACGTTTCAGCAGATCTCCTACTCATCTTCTGCCAGAATTGCCCTGAAGTTTATGATAATGAAAATGAGAATGATAATGAAAGTTGTCCGAGTTCATTAGAATGCTTTTTTCACATTTTCCATCATGATCTGCTTTGAGACATACACAGTTGAGAGTCAAGCTTATGGTCCAAGCTCAGTGTTAAGTTTTTATCCACCATCACTGGAGCATTTTTGGGGTTGGGGACCTTGCTCAAGGGCCCAATGGATAGGAACCTAATCTACTGAGTGAAGGATTGGAACCAACGACCTTTTGATTACAGACACAGAAGCCAATCACCATATGGACATCATTACTGACAAACATGGTCAGAAACTATTATACATGGAACACAGTTCACAGGAAGTATATTAACACCAGAGATGGGAAAAGTGGAGCTGAAGGGCAGTGTGACCATTATCAGACTCAATAAATGGCACCTTGTAATTATTTTTATTGCATACAGTCATTACCTGATCCTTTCACTTATAAATGCGACGATTACCTTTAAAACGGCCATTACACTTTAACGAAGGAAGAGCCATTACTAGTATAATAACATGGCAGATATTAATTATTATTTATCTGAGTTCAATTTGAAGAAATCTGGTTTAAGTTGATCTTACAAGTCCAAATCCCAGCCCTAACCCTTCACCGAAAGTGCACCGCAGTCTCCAGTCCTTCCAGCATTTTCTCCCTGACAGAGGTGGAGAGTTCAGGTCCAGAAAGTACAAACCCAGACCAAGATTTCACCCAACCAGTTGAGCATAAAGAATCACAGTCACAGAGTAATCAACTAGCTGGTTGAAACAAAACTTTGGTCTGGATTTGTACTCTCTGGACCTGGACTTTCCACATCTGCCTCCTGCCAGAGAGACCTTCTCAAAGGGTCAGGAAGCAGTAGGGGTTTGGGGGAAGCCAGAAAAAAAGGCACGTTTGGGGCAGGAAGCAGCATGGGCGCAGCAACAGCGCAGAAAGGTGGAACTTAAAGGGGTGGGGGCTCTCGCGGGAGACGCCGACCGAGGCCAGTTTATTCCTGGAAGGTTTTGAAGTGGGCAGCTCCCAGAACAGTCACTCGACATTCTTGCCGCCGCTGGCGAGATAAATTCTTCTAGAGAGAAGAAAAAAAAAGTGGATATTCCTGCTACAATTTCAGTCTCTTAAGCGTGAGAAGTCAAAGAAACAAAGAAAAGCAGAGAACTTTCTTTCTCCTTCTCTTGTATTTTTCAAAGGCAGAAGAGGGATTATTTAATAAATAACGGGCTGTAATTAGAAACATTTTTGCATATGTGCAAGTCTGTGTGTGTCAGTAATAAAAATATAAGCTTGTTAATTTCAATTGTAGACGACGCCTTGTTGTGGCGGAGTGGGGAGGGGGAGAGGGGGGTATTGAAGTGGCCAGAGAAATTGCAAGAAGGCCATGAGAATTCCTGCTCTTCCTCCTCCTCGTTCTACAAGCTTTCCACTCGCTTTGCTTGCATAGTTTTCTCGACCCCATTCCCTACCGTTTAAAGCAGGGCTTCTCAGCTAGTTTGGCCTTACAACCCACATTGTTCCTTGGGCAGTGGGTCCCGAGTCAAATTTACTAGAAAATTCCTGTAACACCAGGTGGGGTTGGGAGGGGGGGGGGCGGACAACTGAAAATGTTGTTGACTGGGTGGACTTTTGGGTTGCGACCCACCACTTGAGAAACAGCACTTTAAGGCTCACTGATGTATCAATCGCATCAGTTTACCTTCCTCATGTCGGCAGTGTTCCCGCGCCGGGGAGAGGAGGATGTATGGCGGAGTGCAGATCAAAAACAGAACGGGGGGGACGGCACCGGGGCGGCCTGTGAAAGAAAAACAAGCAGCGTGGAGGAGGGCAGAGCAGCGCTTTGAAGTCCAGAGCAATAGAAATAACGAGCGAGACACGAGGAGGCTGCGACTGCACAGGGCGCCGCCGCTTTCTTCTGCCAGTTGATGGACAGCACTGGGAGAAATGAGATCCAGACCTCGGCTCGGGGGACGGACTGGTACTGGGAGTGTTAGGGGCCAGAGGGGAGGAGACGCTGCGCTTCCGCCGGCCGTGACTCATGCACACACGCACATGCACACTCGCACGGGCCCCCAGAGGAGGTCTGGGGCGAATCCCATGACGCCTGGAGGGGCAGGCGAGAGGAGGGGTGGGGGGGGGAATTAGGGTGGTGCTGGTTATGAGCTTGTAAATTAGCAACAGTGCTGAGGGCCCGGGGCGTGGGGGGGGCGCGCGGAGGGGGGTGAGGGGGGGGGGGGGGGACACACACCCATAACGGTGGCATAACACGCATTCACAGGGGCGGCTTGTCAGGCTTGAGATAGGTTCGAGTCCCTGTGGGGTGGAGGGGCTGCTGCTTGAGCTTAAGCGTAGCTACATGGCTACAACATCCAGCTGCGTGCCTTACGAGCAGCTTAACTGCAAAACCAAGACAGCGTGTCGAGCGAACGAGGAATGTTCTAACATCCTGCCGCGGCCAACGCAGACCCGCCCGACAGGCAGAGCGTCCCCCGATCATCGCGGCAACGCCGTCAAGCCGCAGCTCGTCTCGGAAGCGGAGCTGCATCTTTCTTCTTAAGTCGCCTTTACATCCACGTGTGGCATTTGGCTGCACGTTGCGGCCTACCCACTGAAAGCTGTTCAGCAGCCTTATTAACATCCTTCCCCAGTAACTCTGTGCCAGTCAGGAGGCTAGAATGTGCCCGGCTGGGCATGGCGAAAGGGGCATGGTCACTATGTCTCTTCACCCTCCTATTCATACGGCCAGCTGCCACCGAATGCTTCAGGGCCGCCGTCGCCATGGAAACCACCAGTAGCCAGCTTCCCACGGTAAGGGCGCCGAGCACGGCGGAGACAGCGACGGCAGCATGCGCCGGCGTTTGGGCACTGGGGGCTGGCTTATCCTCAGAAGTGACCCTCTGTTCCAACACTCAGGGGGCCCTTTCTTCTCTTGACCCCTGGGGGGGGGCGTCTCGCCTTCTAAACGCACCGTTATCAGGGGGACCCTCATGTCAGGTCGGCTTTGCAGCTCCAGCCCTGACGTACGGCTCCCGGCTGAGCGAGATTAGCAGCCACGCTAAAGTTAAAAAAAAAAAAAGCTGGACAATGTGACAGGATGCTGATGAGAGGTACGCTTTGGCGTCATTTAACGGGGGGGGGGGGGGGGAGGCAGAGAGCCAGGGGTGATGGGAGCAGTGACAAGCAGTAGAAAAACAATGTTTCTATTATTGTTTAGCTAAAAATAAATATGATAATGTATAATTATTTACTCCAATCCATCTTAGCATGTTTTTGGATTGTGCATAGGACAAGAGGAGACAGAAAATGAAGGATGGATGGATGGATGGATGGATGGATGGATGGATGGATGGAAGGAAGGGTAATTAATCACCCAATACTCAGCCATGATGGCTTCTGGTCATTCTGATTCACAGGCAACTTTAGGCAAGGCATGTGCTGACCTGGCTACTCAGAACAGACCAGGCTTTGATGCCTGATAACTGGATTGGGTTAGAACTCCCCACTCCTGCCCCCCGCAGGTGGTCAAAGTGGAGGCATCTCGCAGGGCACATTGCTCATTTAAGGGTTAAAGACATGGACCAATTACTCCCCAGGGGGCACCACCGTTTGGGGGGGGGAGCGAGGGATTACCTGTTACCACACTATGATAAGCTCACGTGAGCCTCCTCCCTTCCAGCTCGCTGTTCAGATCTCAGCTGCTGCTCAGAGGGAGCTGGTAAGGGCAAAAATCCTCATTAGGAGGAAAAAGGGAGTGTCTATGTGTGTGTGGGGGGGGGTCAGGAATGGGATGAGATGGAGGGAATAGAGGGAGAGGATGCTAATTGAAAGGAGAGGAATGTGGGGGGGTGTAAGAGGGGGGTCAGAGAAAGCGATTGAGAGAGAGAGAGAGACAGAGAGAGAGAGAGAGAGAGACAGAGTACTAGAGGGTTAGTGGAGCTTTGTAATGTTCTGGCTGAAAAATTAATCTGTGACAGTGGGATCCAATGGCAGAGTGACCTCCAGGGGGGAAAAAAGAATAAGCAAGGGAGGTCTCCCCCACAAGAAAGACAGCAAAACGAGGAGGCGGGGGGGGAGACAGACGCTGGGGCCACAAGAAGAGGGGGGGTGGACACCAGTGACAAACTGAATCGGCAAAGGGGTAGGCAAGTGGGAACAAGAGACAGGGCGGAGGGCAGAGAGAGAGAGAGAGAGAGAGAGAGCACGTCCAGTACAAAACATGTGAGCCAATCAAATGGGAGAGGCATTCAAAAGGAGGATTAAAGCTCCACNGAGAGAGAGAGAGAGAGAGAGAGAGAGAGAATGACAAGGACAGACTGACACATGCTGGGGGAGGAAAAACAGAGAGGGAGAGAGAGAGAGAGAAAGAAAGAGAGAGAGGGTGGGCACTGGCATAGAGGGTTGCCCAGTTTCCAACGATCTTTGCTGGAAGGACAAGCGAGCCAGACGCCTGCGTGCCTCTCCTCCCGCTCTGACGAGCCCTCCAGCCCTGCAGGTCGAGTGCCCCTGACCCCCCTCCCCGGCTGCACGCCGCAGGTCATCCCCATCGACGCCAGTGCCTGGTCCACACCAAACCATGAAGAGACCCTGTGACTACAGCTCCCCGGACACGGACGGCGAGGAGCTCATCGACGTCGGCCAGGAGGACGCGTTCTGGTGAGACTGACCCCGAACCCAGGGCCCCGGTGGGGTCTGGCCTAACCCCCGCTGTAACCAGATTGCTGTGACGGTAACCGGTTCTGCTTCATCCCGCTGACTTATGCTGTATTTTGGCGTACAACAAGAAAATTAAATATCGTATTTGGTTTAACATAGGCTACATGTGTCGTGTAATAGCTGTGCCTTGTTGTGTACCTATGCATCTATTTAATTCGAGATGTGTATCTGTTTATTTATTTCATATGTAACCCTCCCTTTCACAAACAAATAGCACATGTCTAAAAATCTATTCTCTGTTTTGCATTTTGCGCTGTACCCTGACTTTTGAATTTTCTAAGGGCTCTGCAAATCAGGCGCAGACTGGCACTAGTAGTTGAAAAGATTGGGAGAAAGTCAACGCAAAGCCCCTTTGATATGGGGGCGCGGGACGAAAGTTTGTTGCTTTCCCACTTTGGGCTTTAGAAATGTTTTAGGGGCAAACGGACGTATTTGCTACAGTGTTGGCAAATGTTAAATGTCAGATTTTGTCACCAATGAGATCTAAAAGCTTTAAAAGGCTGAATAAGAAAAGGCAAAAAAAACTATATTTAAAAAATCTGACAGCAGTTTAAATCTGAAATATTATATATAAATTACAGATTTTCATTTCCTTGTAAAGGCCAAGGAAACGCTGAGATTCAGATAAAACATATTTCTGACATAGAACATGATTGTACTATTTCATGTAAATGTAAGTGTCTTTTAGTATTTTTTACAATGCTGCTTTTAATTAATATGCAACTTCCACGTATCATTGGTATAATTGTTAATTTTTGCATGCAAGTCAAAATGTCTTTGTTTAAGAATTTGAATGTAAGAACGTAATTGTACAGTCGACCAAGCCAGAAATGACATCTGCATAGAGATTCATTTTACTTGCCTTGCCTAAATGGTTTCTGTTTTTAATAAGTTTGCAAATGCTGAAGGTTGTTATTGATCACTCACTTTTTAAGGAGCCAGCGGTCTGTCCCCTATCTGACTGACACAGACGTTCAGCAGGGACGTGTTTTAGCGTAAGGTGACACTTTGTCACATTGACGGAGGTGCTGTCAGCCTGCTGTCCTGCAGCACAGCCTTGCTGCCCCCCTACTGTCACATTTCCTTACGCAGTCTTGCAAAGGCCTGCACGGCTGTACATGCCGTTGATTGTCAGGGGGGAGGGGGGGGTGGCCTTGCCATGAGGACGCAAAGCTCACGGAGACCCGCCTCTCTGCCTGTCCCTGCAGCCCTGTCACCGGCTCCATCTCCCCAGGCAGCACCTCGCAGATCCTCGCCCGCAAGAAGCGCAGAGGGGTAAGCAAGCTACCGCCGGCCTTGATGCACAACAGGCAGGCTGCAGTCGGCACCCACAGTCATTTGCTTGCAATTACCGGATCGCGGCCTTTTGGTTCCGTCGATCCCAACTGACGCTGTCACGAGCCACAGATCTGAGTGGGCGGCTGCCCTGGGCTGCATCACCCTCACCGACTGACTCTTTGTGCAACACCTCACTCCTGTCCCTTATAACCCTGTGCTGCCCATCCATCCATCCATCCATCTATCTATCTATCTATCTATCTATACATAGAAAGTAAAAGCAGCTTTTGTGAGGAGCTGCATCTTAGAGTAATAATTACCCAGTGACTGCTTAATAATCAAACATAATATACAGTGATGATTATGCAGTGACTGCTTAATAATCAAACATAATATACAGTGATGATTATGCAGTGAGTGTTTAATAATCAAACATAATATACAGTGATGATTATGCAGTGACTGCTTAATAATCAAACATAATATACAGTGATGATTATGCAGTGAATGCTTAAAAATGAAACGTAATATACAGTGAAGATTATGCAGTGAGGGCAGGGCTGCACATGGAGGTCTCTGCATCACCCCTCTTCCCCTGTTTCTTAGATCATCGAGAAGAGACGGCGAGACAGGATTAACCACAGCCTGTCAGAGCTCAGGCGTCTGGTCCCCAGCGCCTTCGAGAAGCAGGTGACAGCCCCCTCCCCACACACACACACACATCCCCGCTGCTGGGTCTCGCCATTCGTTAGCTCGTTAGATCATTAGCTGCACCGCAGAGGCGGAAAAGTTGGCCAGGGTGTTTATAGATAAACCGCGCTCAGGCACAGGCGGCATTAGCCACGGCGCGTTAAGGGCCTCATGTTCCACGCTGCTTGCCTGAACATGCCGGCGTTGGGCCTGGTGTGGGATGGCATTCAGCCCATAATCATCTCCCTTCCAGGGCTCCTCCAAGCTGGAGAAGGCCGAGATCCTCCAGATGACAGTGGACCACCTCAAACTGCTGCATGCCATGGGGGGAAAGGGTACGTCCGTCCGTCCGGGAGGGAGGGAGGGCTGTAAAGAATTGGGGGGGCAGAGGGGTTTGGGACAGGGAAGAAGTGCAAAGGCTCTAGGTGGGCTGGCAGCGAACCTGTATCTGACACTGCAGCATGTGGACGTAGATCTAAGCCGGACTTATGCACCGGCTAATCTGGGCTCTAGCTCCGGGCCCCAAGTTGCAAGGCGCCCCAAATCTTTTTTTCTTCTTCTGATTGACAGCATTATTTTGTGCTCTAGGTAGGGGGCCCCAGCTAAAGCTTATGGGAAATTGTGCAATTGCAGGCCCAACATTGTGCAATGATTTGCCCCTGTGCATTTGACAGGTGTCAACACTGTTCACTTTTAAAGCTCGGTTAAAAACACATTTTTATTCTTTGGCTGTTAATTCAGTGTTGGGGCTGCCTAGTGTTATGATGTTGTGTGTCTATCCTCTTTGCTTTTCTGATTTGTACAGCACTGTGTGTCAGCTCTGGTTGTCTGAAATGTGCCGTAGAAATGAACTGAACTTGAAGGGCCCCCACCCCCTAAATTCAGTCCTGACAGGAATAATAGTTCATAGGGGAGATGCTGATTGGATGTCCTGTGCCCCCCAGGGTACTTCGATGCCCGTTCGCTGGCTGTGGACTACAGGACGCTGGGCTTCCGGGAGTGCGTGGGGGAGGTGGTGCGGTACCTCAGCTCGCTGGAGGGCATGGAGGCCCCCGACCCCATCGGGGCCCGGCTGGTGTCCCACCTGAGCCACTGCGCCACCGAGCTGGATCCCCTGCTCCAGAGTCCGGCTGGTCTGCCGTTCGGCCCCTGGCCCTGGGCCGCCTTTCCGGGCTCGGCGGCCCCCGCTGCAGCGGCGAGGCCTTTCGCCGGACCCCCACCCCGCCGGGAACTGCCAGCCCACACTGCAACTCTTCTGGGCAGCTACCCCACACACAGCCTGCGCGCTTCTGCCATCGGCAGCCTGCCGGCCGCCCCCCCCACCACCATGCTGGGCCCTGCCTTGGCCACCGTGCACAGGGTACCCCCGCTCCCCTCCCCCACCCACAGACTGTCGCAGCCCTCCCCGGAGTCCCGCGGCACCCCGCCCCTCCTGGCTTCCCCACCTCAGCTGTCCTTCAGGCCGTTCGCCCCTCTGGGCTCCGCCTCCGGGCAGCGGCGGTTGGGCACCGGCACCAGCAAGGCCTCGCCGCACTGGGGCACGGAGATTGGGGCCTTCTGATCCGCTCGCCCCCCGGCTTGAGCAGGAGACGAGAGCGGCTTCAAGACCTCCGTCCACAACCACTATCCCCCTAAACCTCCACCCCTCTCAGTGAACTGAAGATATATGCATTTCACCATGGGATCCAGTGACTCTCCAAACGGTCGTTTACCTTACATCCTAGTTGCCTACATAATGCTTATCCAAAACAATTTCTTTACCCATATATGCAGCTGGACAATTTACCGAAGCATTTCAGGTTATGTACCTGGCTCAGGGGTGCAACAGCAAGAGGAACGGCGACATTCAGGTTACGAGCGTTTGGCTTAAACCTCTACATGCTGCACGTTAAAGGAGCCTCGGTGGGGCACCGCTGGGATTTGACCCCAGAACCTCCTGTTCGACAGCGCAGTTGTATAGCGGCCCAGCACACGGATATGAAATATTCAGCTCATCGGCCCTCCATGTGCAGCCTTCAAGGCAGGATCAAGAGATCCGGGCCGCAGGGTGATGGACAAGAGGTTCCAGATGATGAGAGGAAACTGGAACAAGGTTGAAAACACACAGGATAGTTTGTCCTGACTCACCCCTTCTTAAGGATTAAAGGACCCCTCCCCCCGCAATAAGCAGTCCGGGTGGGTGGAAAAACTCAGAACTTGCCTCATCCAAGCTCTCACACCCAAATATCTCAGAGTAATATTTTAGACAAGAACCGCAGCGAAATTTGGTGTGTCTGTCTTTGGTTTTTCTCCCTGTTTGTTTGTTTGTTTGATGATGGATTGTTTTGGTAATGCCTTTTCTTCCTTGTAATTCTGCTTCAGCGTTTAAACACATTTTATAATGTTGAATGATCCTTTTATATTTGGCGCCTGTTAAGAGGCTTTATGTTGTGGGCTTCTTGGATGATATTAAAAGGAATGCCTGAGAAGACGAGACGGAGCAGAGAGGTTTTTTTTTCTGGTTCAGCAGCGCTGTTTCTGTGTGTTTGTGCGTGTTTGGTTGGCATGTTCACTGGTGTGCTGTGTTGGTGCGAGAGAAAGAGAGAGAGAGAGAGAGAGAGAGCACGTCCAGTACAAAACATGTGAGCCAATCAAATGGGAGAGGCATTCAAAAGGAGGATTAAAGCTCCACCTCCTCTCCACTGCCCAACCAGCACCTTGGTTTCTGTGTATGGGCATTGTCATGGTATTTGCAATGGGTCCTAAACAGTAGAAGAGCAAAAGCAAGTGCTGAAATCTGGTGGCTGGTCAACGCATCCCAGGATAGTTCCTGGGGGTTTAACGTTTAAGCTCATATCCATGCATCCACATACGAATTGTGAATCTGGACCCCAGCATGCAGGGAACACGCTCTGCATGGTGTTTGACACAACATGTTTGATATAAATGTCATTATTAGCCCTTATATTTACGAAGCTGAGCATTTCTCCGCAGCATGCATGAGAGTCGGCTTTGATGCGTCCCATATGAGGGGCCTAGAATGACGAAATGCAGGAAAGGGGGCTGATGACACGTCACCCTGGCAACACGAAGATCATCTGGCTGCCCAGAGCTCCTCTGGGAACTTGGGAGGGGTGATATGATGCTGCTACTGAGCAAGTCCACGTCAATGAACGTCACAAAGTGCGTCCTTCATGCCTAAGCCACTTCCTGTTAGCCGTTACGTTAGGGTGACCAGATAATCCATTTCAGGGAGGACACTTTGTGTTACTTCAGGTTTTACAAACTACTTTAAAACTGAAAGGCTCCCGTGCTCGACTAAATAGTTCAGTTCTTCTTGTCCTTTGACTGGTTTGTTTCCTTGATTGAAAGTCTCATCCAGCTGTTTCACATTAATTAGTATTAGTGACACGTGCATGATTATGGGAGACTGACCAATCAGCATACAGCAAGACCTCAGTGCTTAAATGAAATCCAGGCCCTTTTAGTTTGAATGGTACTTTTTCAGATCCTGTCCTAGCTGAGAGTATCCTCCCTGACAGGGATTATCGGGTCACCCTACATTACGTGGCTAACTGGTTTAAGGTCATTTTCATATCTGCATGCTGAAAGCTATGATTTTTTATTTAATATTTGCGTTTGTCAGGAAAGCAGCCACAAATGTAGCAATTATAATATTTGTTGCAGCCTTTTAGGATGGCAAATAAGGTGAAATTTTATTGGAAATTCATATTTCTGCCTGGTTGGAATTAAAATCTAATAGCGGTGGGGATACGCAGCCTGATTTTAGTAAATGGGAAAGAGTTCAGCCAAACGTGTGTTTCATCGTGCCAGTTGCCTGAAATACTGGCAAAATCTAATCTGCAGATCCGAATGAGTTGAACAAAATTATTTAAACTAATTCCATCTATTTTCCATGACCGTTGATCCAGCACGAGGTCACGATTTAAACCACCAGTGTCCAATTACTCCATTCTACCCGCAAACAGAGTGAAACGGCAACAGAAGATTAATAACCCTGTCTAACGTTAAAAAACGGCGCCTGAGAAAGGCAAATGTTTGCAGTGTGAGGGACAAAGGGCGCTCCATCATGCTGAAAAAATGACAGTAATAGCTGACATGCATGCTGCACAATAAAAAGCATCTCTTGATATCAGTGGCTGGGCCGGGGGCTCCGAAGTCTGCAGTGTGACACGGGCCTGCAGCTACATATTCGCATCGCCGATGTATTCAGCGCGTTCACGGGATGAAAGGAGCAGAGGGCGGAAAGACCCGGAAAAGGCACTGGGCCCTTTTGTAACCGTTGCAGCCCTTTGGCATGACTCCTGCGCAACGTCCCTTTCAGGCATCTGATTCGGAGTGGGGAGGTGTCAGCGGGGGGGGGGGCGAGGTGGCATAATTCTCACCCACAGCGAGAGATTCAGCAGAAAACAACCCCCGATGAGGAGGAGGGACGGGGAGCACAGTCGCGGTGGCTGATACGGCAGTGCTGCTGCAGTGCCCAGTGCATGATGGGAAACACCTATTGTGCCCCAGTGAATTGCTGAAGCAGAAAGGAACCAAAACATGCCTCAAATTAAAGTGGGGGCTGAACAGGAACTGTGTGGGGGTGGGCAGCCCTCATATGAGATAGACAATTTACAGTTTCTTTACTTAGTAGATGCTTTTATACAAAGTGAAAATTGAAAGCAGTGTCAGACAGTCCCTAGAGCAATTTGGAGTTAGGGGCCTCGCTCAAGGGCCCAAAGCACTCTGTAAACCAGCGGCCATAGACACAGAGTCACAGTACAGTAGTACTGATAGTACTAACATTTTATAGAGAGAATATAAATAAACCCACCTTGGCTAACACTGGTTCAGTCTGTAGTGTCAAATGTATCTGAAGACTCAACTTCCGCAGACCAGTTCCTCAAACCTTTAGAACTCTTTGTTCTAAATTGGTCCCGAATTGGTCTCCAGATCTGAACTTATGTTCTGCAAACCTCAGGGGGGTTGAGTCAGACCGTGACACCCTTCAGCTGCCTCGGGGTTCACAGCGAAGGAGCGGGGGGTGTTTCTAACATGTCCCTGGACACTGTCCCTTTTGCATCAGCATTATAAGGACTGGACTGATATTGTGACCCTGGACACGTTGTGGTGAGATGCATGTTTAAACAGCCCCCTGAGAAAAAGGAACGTTCAGTGACCATGAAGAGCCCTCAACTGTAAACAGAAGTACAGCAAACAACAAGAGGCCTCCTGTCAAACGTTCCCCTCACACAACACAAACTTGGCACTGCTCTGGGGGCGGCGGTGGTGGTGACCGGAGACTCGTGTGTGGAAGTCGGACGGCGGCCGCATACGAGAGCGCAGATCCGCCGCGACTGAAGTGGTCACTCGGCAAACCCCAAGTGAAACAAAAAGCACATTCCTGGGATTGGACGGGAAACTTGTTTTGGGCCAATCACGAGCTTGTTTATGAAAAGAGTGGCCCCGTCTGCATTTGTGTGGGCGCGTTCGTGTGTGCGGTCACCAGGACGTGTTTCTCCCATTGTGTCTCCGGCCGCTTATATGTGCAAGGCCTCCATTGCCCTCCCTCGACAGCGAGACGCTTCACGGGTGCCTGACGAGAGGCTGTTTATTTTCTCAGGCCCAGAGCTGAAACGTGGTGTTTACGAAAACACGGATCACGCGTCCTGATTTTATCTCTGCGCTGTTTACGGCAGTTCCCACAATAAATGGCACCAGATTCCTCCAGACGGCCCTGTGTCCTTCTTGTCATTTGCCCATATACTAATTCCCCATCATCATCTTTTTAAAGTACCTAGGGGTCGGTTGCTTTCTAATTAAGGTGGCAAACTGGCAGGACGGCCTCCCCTGCCATGATTCACTCATCCTGTGTAATTCTGGCATGGGGATGAGCCCCGGCCTGGGAACACTCGCTCTCCAGAATGATGCTAGGCCGCTTGCTGGCTTGCACGTCCGTTCATACTCACTTGATTTGATTTGTGTGCGTGCGAGACAAAGTGGCTAGAGGCTGTGTGTGTCTGCATTCATAATCTCAGTGAATCAGTTTATGCTCAGCTGTGAGTGTGTGTGTCACTGCCTAATTCTGGTAATATGTGTGTGTGTGTGTGTGTGTGTGTGTGTGTGTGTGTGTGTGTGTGTGTCCGGCCTGCTGTCCTCTCCGGCCGCAGGCGGCAGCCCGCATGGGCGAGGCAGAGCGGGCAGGAGCGTGTGGGGGATCTGGGGCGGCTGGGCAGAGTGGCGAGCCGCCCCTGGACTCTGGCGTGAGCGACGGGAGGCGTGACGGCGGAGTGCTCCCAGACCTGGCACTTTTCTGGCAGCTGAGCCACAGCCTGATGCCACAGGCTTCCAGGAAGGGTGACCACAATCACACAGGGTGACTGTTCCCACGGGGAGGGGTCCCGCGGCCCCGAGGGAAGGGGGGAGGGGTCGGTCACACACACACAGCCGCTGCCCGCCTGCCTCCTCCCCCAGGCTGTGACGCAGATCGTAATTCATATTTGTGAGGACAGACTCCGATAGCTGGGGCCCAGTTTGTAACTGCTGACCTGTACGTAACGAGACCAGGAGCCCCTTCATGAGGAGCCTCGGTTACCCCAATCGAAAAAGACCAGAAGAAGGCAAACTGGCAGCGCAGAGGTAACGTAACAGATGAGAGCATGGCCTGTGAGAATGCTCTCCAGAATGGGAATCAAACTCCAAATTCACTAAACACTGACCTCTTGTGGATGAAACAGAAAACGTTTTTCGATCTACAAATTTACCCATCGATGCATCTTCCAACCACGCAGCACAGGGCCATAGGACACGGGCCACGAGGTAGGGGCCGGGTCATATTCAGAGAATTCTGCTTGTCAAACTGCATTGTGGGTGAAAACAAGAGTACCCAGTGTACTGCTGTACAACCTGTGGGGAAAAGAACGCCAAACACAAATGCATTGATATTCCTAACAGCAAGGCTTAAATGTGTGCCTGAAAATAATCACATATATTGATATCCTAATATTACATAAAACAACTATATTGCAAGATAAGAAATATAATGCTAGCATAAAATTATATAATCTTTTATTACCTAAATTTGTAATGTAAGCTTGACAAAGGGGAGTTGTCAAAAGTGAACCCGCAAAACTTGAAAACACTTGATAAAAATATTCCACTTTTTGGTGACAAAAAATGTTTCCGCTCATGATGCCTGGTTGTTTCTGCTGAACACACCTTGATCTCCCAGGTTTCTGTCCCAGGATAGAGCAAAGCTGCAGACACATATCTTAGACTCCAGGGCGGTGCTATACCAGGCCCCTCGCTACATCGTGATGACACATGGCGACTCTCTGGTATTCTGCTGTCTCTGGCATCAGCAGGAGATGCTGTTCTGGATCCAGTCGAAGTAGTCGGCCACACGGGTGTACACCCCCGGCTTTTTTGCTTCACCACACCCGTCCCCCCAACTGGTGACGCCCATCAGGTACCACCTGCCCTTGGCCTGGCACA